GGCGCCCGCAGGCAGTACCCGGTCGCCCGGAAAGGCCTTGGCCGGAAGGCCCCGCCCCCAAGGTCCCTAGATCCCAATTGTCCCATCCCCCCCCCCGGGGGGGGGGGGAAGCGGGCACACGATCCCCCCGGGAGGCGTAACTCCAGATCGCATACCCGGGCATGGTCGGCCGGGGATAGAAGGCTCACCAGGCCGGCCTCCGACCCGCCCGGCCGGCGCCCACAACGCATCCCCTCCTCCGCCCCCTCCCCCCTTCGCCTCCCCCCTTCGCCCTCCCCCCCCCTTCTCGAGATCCCTCTCTCTCCCCCCCCCCTCTTTCCTCCTTCCAACACAGCATGTCCGACTCGAGCGCCCCGACTTACGACCCGATGCTGGACCAGCCGGCCGCCGCCGCCGCCGCCGCCCCCGCGGCCGAGGCCCAGCACTCCGAGCCCATGGACCCGGTTGGCATGGCCGGCTCTGCGGTCAACACCGCGGCCGAGGTGGTCGGCGGCATCTCCGGCACCCTGGTCGGGGGCGTCCAGGCCGCCTGGGGCGCGCTCAACCCCCTGGCCCGGCGCCTGAACACCGGTGCGTTCGAGCTGCCCTGTCCCCGCCTTGCCGGCCGTGCTTGTGCCCGCCCGGCAGGCCATGGTCGCATGGCGGCCGCATCATCACTGACCCTGGCCCCTCGTTGCCCTTCCTCCCCTCCTCCCCTCCCGCTCCTCCCGCTCCTCTCGCTGTTCCTCCATCCCTCCTCCAAGGCTTCCACATCGCCAAGCAGATCACCACCGAGACCATCGGCGTCACCCGGGCCACCGAGTTCAGCGAGCAGTACCGCCACCTGGAGACCGTGCGCGCATCCCCCTGTCCCTCTGATCTTCTCCCACCGCCGAGGGTCCCTCTGCCGCCCACCGCCCACTGACCCCTCTCCTCCGCAGAATGTCCGCCGCCTGGAGCGCGCCCACAGCCTGCTCATCCGCTCCGTTAACCAGATCTCCGGCCCGACTCCCCGTACGACAGGCCTGCTGGCGCCGCTTCGCCATTTGACCGGCCCCCTGCTGACACACGCCCCCCCCCCCCCCCCCCCCCCCCCCCCCCCCCCCCCCCCCCCCCCCCCCCCCCCCCCCCCCCCCCCCCCCCCCC